TACCAAAACACACACACACATATATATGTATATATATAAATGCATAAACTTGGTCAAGTGGAGAACCTTGTGACATTATTTCATTTCTACCGTCCGCTGTGCCTCCCCTCGAGCATAGCCCTACAAAACGCCTGCATTTTCTATAATTGTAACGGTGCCTTTTTTTATTACCATTTGCCTGCTGGCACCCTTTGCTTTTTCTTCCCATCTTTCATTTGGCTTCTCTACTTGGCCACTGCAATTCATCTGCTCGATTTGCATAGAAAAGGAATGTAAAAATTAAATTCAAAAGCAAACACACAAAAAACAAAGGCAGAATACGAAAAATAAAAATCGCTGAAGCACGCAAATCGTTGGCATTGCATTAACTGCAAACGTTCACATTTTTAATCTTATAGTCTCCCCTTTTCCCCTTGCACACACTCTTTCGTCTAACTAGCACACACTGCTGAAGACCTGCGAAATTCTTTTACCCAATTTGTAATAATACAGTCGATCTCAAAATTAGGGAACGCATCATCTTCGCATTTATTATTTAAAAAGTTGCTGAAATTTCTAAAGAAAGTGATTTCGGAAAGTGGAAAATTCAAATTGTTTCATTATTTTAGGTAAAATGTATTAGAACTTCATATGTTAAACACCATCAGAGCAAATTAATTGTATACTAAATCTGATCTAATCATGTTACCACATTCGAGCTAACCTAACCTTATTCGTATTGAAAAGTTATGTTCGTTCAGTTACCTGATCGGCTTTACCTAAGCTATAACACACTTCACAGGTGTATTTCTTAGAGCATAAAAGCGTAAAAAAAATTATCTTGATTTGGACCGACCAGTTTGTATGGCGGCTTTATTGTTTAGTAATTTTGTAAGCATATCTTGTCAAATAAAAAAGTTTTTCATACCAGAACTTAATTTTTGTTCGGTCAGTTTATATAGCAACTATACGCTATAGTGGTCCGTTCTGAACTACTTTTTCGAAGACAATAAACCGTGCCAAATTTGGTAAAGATATCTCGTCTAAATAAAAAATGTTCCTTATAAGAACTTGATTTTGATGGATCAATTTGGGGTGGCAATATTCTACTATATTGGTCTGATATTGGCAATTTCAACAATTGAGCAGCTTTTTGGAGAGAAAAGGACATGTGCCAAATTTCAGACCGCTATTTCAAAAACTGAGAGACTAGTTCGCGTTTAAGCAGATAGACGGACATGGCTAAATCGACTTGTATTGTCGTGCTGATAATATATATACATACATATATACTCTATAAGGAATATGTTGCCTTGTGGATGTTACAAAATGTCGTGAAAAACTTAATACACTCTGTTCAGTGTATAAGGAGAGCTTCAAATTTAAATGGGAATACAAGTGTTGTTATCAAACACAGTAGTATAAATTTTTTAAATTTCATATTGTGATATTCGATTTAAACAATAAAGTTGGTACCAAAAATGGATTTTACTATAATTTTTTTAATAATGAAGTAAATAGTTGAAAAAAACAGACAAAACAATAAATATAAATAATTTCGAAAAAAGTAATGTATATATTAAATTTATATCAATCAAATTTCACAACAAAACAATTAGAAACCGATTCCTATAAATAATAATAAGTCTGTATTTCCAGTTGCAATTATCAAAAACCTCAATATATTTTGAGCAAAATTTTTTTTTTGTCGTAAATTATTATGGTTAAATGCATGCAATTTAGGCAATACAACTTATGACAATTATGAACTCCTGATTCACTCAATTGCATATCAACTAAATTACCGCAAAAAATTTTCAAAACTACAGCGGCCACTTCTGGCAATTAAAGAAATTTCGTGTTAAGCACTTTACAAATTAAAGAAAGCCAAAGCACAAAGTTAAGGTCATCTTGAGTTAGTGCGACACCATTAACTGGGTCATGGTCAACATTAGTGCATTTATTTATTTTCATTTTTATTTATTTGTATTTTTTTTGTTTTTATACCAAGGGAATCATATGAAAAGTGCACGAGTCAACGCATAACCATGGCAAATAATTAAAAGTTTGCTGTATGCCCGCGAGCATGAAAGTGCATACGACTACGCTTTATGCATATAAAGCAAGAACAATGCATGCCAATAAAGCAAAGCGAAACTATTTTACAATGTAATCAGCTAAGTTGAACCAACAAAACACCAGCGAATGCTAAACACAAAGCGCCGAGCAATGCAGCGTCGCTAACAATAACAAACTTGCGGGCTTCTAGCTTGTAGCTGCAAAAAAACGTAGTCATTGCGCAGTTACTGATACTCGCTGGCGAATATATGTGTGCCTGTGTGTGTGTGTGTGTGTGCGTATGATTGCATGTAAGCAAATGCACTTGTTATCTGCTAAAGTTTGAAATTCATCTGCGAAAGTAGACAATAGTACCGCAAAATCGGCGAAAATATTCTCTAACGCTTTGTACTGTACAAGTTTTGTTGTGTTTGTGCTTTTCAAATTTCTTTACACACGTTTGTATATCCCAGAGCTACACCGCAAGTGCACGGAATTTCGCGAGCAATCGGAAAAAGTTGATTGTGCAATAGGTACATATGTACTTTTATGTAAATATATACATATGTGTATATATGTAAGTAAGCACATGTGTGTGCATTTGTAACTAAAATGACATTGCACGCAAATTAGCTTTTCACAGCTAACTCGCAGCGGGTCTCCAATAGAACTACATGTAAACTTGGCGAGCAACAGGCAGGCGGGTAGAGTGCACCCACATGCACAGGTCTTAAAAAGGGATTAGCATATACTAAGTATAGGTATATAGATATAATAGAATATTAGCTTAGTCAAGACTTGTGTAACATCTAAAATAGCAAATTCATACACGAACATTTATACATATGTACATATGTATGTACTAATGCTTGCCAGCAAGAAAATTTTAGCCTTTGAAAACTGATTTTAAAGCAAAAAAATATTTCAAAACACTATCGTAGACAAACGATCCTAATAACACTGTGAAAGAACTAAAATTTACTAAAAATAGCATAGTGAAAAATCAAACAAGCACCTGGCTTAAATCAAAGAGACTAGCACAGAATTTAATATAGAGAGCATAGATTTCCCACTTTAATGAGCCAACATCACACTATTTTATATTAAACGCATCTAGATAAATTTTTTGAATTGGCGAATCAAAGACGACTACAGTTCGACTTAAATTCTCCCGTTCAAACGTATTTTTCGGCAATAATGTTCTGTGATAGAATTGCGGAGCAACTTATCACTGCGTTAGTGAAAACTGAAAGAGCCGTTATTTTATATTACTATGTAAGTCAAATATTTTAATTTGAATTCATTTTACAGTAAAGCTACTTTTCCTGTTGGATTATATAAAATATATGGCGTTTAAATTTATACAAACACATCCGTTTTACATGGATATATGCCATATAGGTATATACATGTTTTTATGTATGTATATAATATATAAATGTTTCTATATAAACACAAAGTCATTAAAACTAATAGCTACTATTGAGCTACTCCTAAGTACTACACCAGCTATATTGATTGCCTCCCTTTTTTTTGTATACACGCGAGTATATACTGTCTATGTCTATGTCTGTAAATACTATTGCGCGTAGATATGTATACCCGTACTCGTGCACATATGTAAGGCCAAGTACACTTCATGCAGGTGGGTTGGCTAATGAAGATTCACAATCATGTAACAAGTCACTCGTTTTGCAACACAAGCATTTGTTAACAAGTAAATAATTTTATACATTTTTAAGTACACTAGGTACATATGTTTGACACATAAGTAGGTATGCGTTTGACGTGTAGTATGTATGTTTTTTATATATCTACAGAAATGAAAAACTACTTTTTATTGTCCTAGAAGTAGTGATTATTGTTGTGTCTGACTTTACAACCCTAATAATGTACATATTTATATCCTATCTCTATTTTGCTGCCATAGGATAATTATATAAATATATTTCCTATTCTATAACTACTTCTTTGAACAGACTTAAGTTTCCTTGTTTCATTAAAATTTTAATAGAAATATTCTTTTTCTTCACATCTTCATTGTTTGCACGTTTTTTGTAAATACTCACATTATATATAATGAAATAATTTTTAGCAGATTGCAGCTTTTAGTGAAGACTCTGTAGCAGAAACTTAGAGCAATATTTCGCAAAATAAAATTTCAAATATTCAAATGGGTCTAATTGTCAGCAAAGTTTTATTTAACGTCTGGATTGCTGGCCGGAAAAAGTTGCCTACATTTAGGGTGATATTACAAAAAATTAAATGCAATGCAGAATAATTGGAAACGAAATAATATTCTTTAATTATTTTTCCCTTACACGAAGTGAGAAATAGCAGTACAATAGGCTAAAGAAGTTCACAAACATTTTTTATGAACTTGTTTTCTAAAGCTTTATATAGACATATGAAATAGGTATATTCATTTTGAAGTCTACAAAAATGTCAATGAAGAATACCTCTTTTTCTTTTATTTGCTTCCGTTACTCACAAGAAAATTGTCATACTAAAATTAGGTATAAAAGCAGATCCATTTATTATGCATTTATGCAAATTTATTAGACAAAAGGCGCGAAAATCTGTCATCCGACAATTTCATACATATGTATGTACTACACTTTGTCCACTGCCTTCAAACTATTCAATTAAGCAACAAATTTCTATTCATTTCAATTTAAACTATTTCGCTCAGAGATTACATGATTACATACATATACATATGGAAATATGTATATTCGTGACTATGCATATATATATACGAGTATATAGAGAATCAGCAGTTGTCTACTCGTCGCTGCATAATGAATTTAAATTAACTATAATAAAAATGCATATACATACAAACTTATAAATACAAGTGCACAAATACATACTGCACATACACACACACATATACACAAATTTGTATGCATATGGGCATGTGTATGTATGCAAATGTTTATACAATATATAAATATATTCACCTTTGCTGTTAGTGTCTTTAAGACTTCTATATATAAAATGTTGTACGTATATATAGAATTGAAGGCATTTGTATACGAATATGTAATCTTGAATTGAATATTTCGCTTGCCGTTACACACACATACTTATTTACAAACGCGCTTATAAATCTTGTTTTGTTTGTTTTTTCCTTTATTTATTTGTTGTTCTAGCTGCGCTTTTTTGTAGATATCTATTGTTGATGTTGTTGTTTGGTTGGTGTTTTTGCTGTGGTTTAGACAAACAATTTTTTATTGTACGGATGATTCAAAAAATGGCTGCAGTTGATAATTTTTTATTTCTTATTGTTGTAATTGTTGCCGTCGTTATGTCAGTTGTTAGTGGTTGACAAATAAACTTTTTATTTTCGTTTGTATTTTTTTTTTAATTTATTCTAGTTTTAAAATATTGTAATTCGTTGCAATTGATTGGCTGTGTGTTGCTGCTACTGCTGATTTCTAGTATTTATTATAAGTTTTTCTATTGTTGTTGCAATTACACTGACTTCAAGATATGACATTGAACTTTCATTTAAAGTTGTCGCAAACCTTTATTTAATTATGTAGAAAACAAAGTTATAAAATTTGTTTTTTGCTTTTGTTGCTTTAAATATTTTTGAGCACCTTTTTCTGGCTACATAGCACGCACGTTAGTCGTAAAAATATCCTTAAGCTTATGTATCTATGTGTTTAATGCGGCAAGCAGTGTCACGTGAAAACTAAACTTTAAATCGCTGCACACTTTTTCTTTGCGTAATATAAACAAATTTCAAACTTTTCAAATTTTATTTTTTTTTTCATAAATTATTTCTACAGACTTTTTCGTTAGTTTCCTTATATTATTGTAGCTCTATGCCTAAAAATCAGGGGCTCGCCAAATACCCGCACACAAACATCAATCTTCAATTAGTTTCACTTTCGTTAACGAATATTGTTTTTGCCGTTATGTAGCGCAGAGAACAGCTCTTATATTATTTCTTTATTTTATCTCATTAATTAATTTTTACTCAAAATTTATTTAATTTTTTGTTTTAAAAAATTATTCTTATTTAAACTGATTTTTCACATTTGTTATAGAATTATAATTTCATCACTGCTGTCGCCGTTATCACCGTCGTTTGTCGCTCGTGGCTGTCACCGTTATGCCCGTTTCTATGCTCCGTACGGTTTTCAGAGCGCGTCTATCAGCCGTTTTTCCTTTCGTTTAACGAGAATTCATCTTCGTATTTGAAAGTACATACAAACATACATATACACACATAACAACCAGCAATGATTTTATTTTTGCACCGTTACGAAAAGTCGCTCGTGTGCCAAAGCAACGCGCTGCGATGGACAGCACACCAACACGGTCGATCGAGTTTCCTAGGTGCGCAAGCTTGCCCATATTCATACACAAACACACACACACACAGACGTGTGCAGAAGAAACCAAAGAACTGATTATATACATACTTATATATTATATATATACATATGTACATACATATATATGTACCTATGAACATATTTACAAGCATTTAGTTGAATCAACCTGTTCTCATACACAGCCACCTGCCAACACCCACACCTAACAGACACATTATTTCCCTCTGCGCCGCGCTTTTTCACCTTTTTCCTTCGCACGTTTTTCACATTTTCGCTTACTAATCTCGAAAAAATAAACAAAAGCAATTTATCCCTTGCAGAACTGCCCAGCAGAGCTTGTAAATTAGATCTTCACACATGTTCCCACAATCTAGCACACATATGTACATACACACACGTACTTACTTATATTTAAATTACTGTTTACAACTTTGTACATTAGCGAGTGCATTTGAAGACCCCTATATGCGTGTGTGTGTGTGTGTGCTGGTGCGTGTAAATATATAACGCAATTTGTGTTTGCCTACTTTGCATCGCTTGACTTTGTTGTTTTGCTGCTGTTTATTAGGGCAGTAGGTTCTTACATATACATGCATGAATGCATGTGTATATGTACGCAGGTGCAGCCGAAGCAACCCTAAACAACAGCAGCCCACTGCATCTCCCGTTACAATGCAGCACTCTCGCTCTCTTGCACATCGCCAGGCACCGAGTGCTCTTCGGTTCCGCATACGCCGTGTAGGCTGTGCACTGCACTCAGCCCTTGCCCTCGCTAGAAATCGCAATTGACGCTGCTTTCCTGAATTCTTACTTTTCGTTTGCATCTCCTTTGTGCATTGTGTGTGCGACACCCTTTGAGAGATTAAACATCGTAGAAATTCTTGCATTGAAGCAACATAGTAAATGGTAAGAGTAGGAGCAAGAGCTGGCATTGTGCTTTATGTAAGAGTCAAAGCTTTGGCAGTCGGCGCCTTACAACTTAAGAGGGTCAAATAGATTTTAGAGAAAAAAGTTTACAATGCGTTTGAAATGAGTGCAATTCCTCACGTGTTTATTCACTAGTGTGTCGTAATTAGGTTAGACCTTATTTCAGAACTAATTTTAAAATAAATCAATATTGAAATAAACAATATCGAATTTCGACAAAAAGTGATATATATCTTTATGCTCAGAGAGAAAGAGGTGTATAGAGATTGTAGAAATTAATGGGAATATAGTCTGCGGTACTCACTGATCTTACGCTTGCTAAAAATATCGAAACAACATCCGTTCAAATGTAGGGTAGCTAAATCTTAATCGGTATCAATTGGACCGACGGATATTGATTACTCCAAGACTTTACAACAATAATCGCTTTTTTCTTCTGCTCTAGAACTTATTTACAGACCCAAAAAATGTTTCCACCTTCGGGATATTTAAAAATATTTGCTTCAGACCAAAAAGGCACATCAATAAAATGCTGATGCCACTTTTCGGGTTTATACTTCTGCAGAAATAGCAACCCAAGAACAACAATAACACTTGAAACTAATCGAACAACCGAAAATTGTATCCAGATGTCATTATCGCTTTAATCGCCAAAAGCCCGAAACAAAATTAATTGATTAATTAATATTGAAAAATATATCAAGCCACCTAGAAATCTGATGTTTAAATCAAGGCGAGCTTTTTGGACTATCAATACACTGCTCCAGCAATGTAACTGAATTAAGGAACCGGAAAATAACATCGGTTAAAGTGTGTTCTCAAGCGCACTCCTCTTGCTCTCAAGCCTCTATAAGTATAACGCAATAAATCTGTCATTTTATGTAAGACTTTCGAACTTTTTTGACATTGAACTCGTGTTGTTTTCATTTATATTAAAATTAAACATTATAAACAGATACGTATGTGGAGAATAATCATAGTGTTTTTTATTACTAAAAAATTATTTATGTGCAATACATACATAAGTTTCCGCAAGCTATCAATGTAGATGATGCCAAGCGAGCACAAATGAAAAGCTTTCAAAACTGATTTGGTTGATATTGGTTGATGGTAGGCAAATGCGATTTGAGCTTGGAAATCTGGTGAAGATAGAAATGGTGAAGGTTATATAATGAGTAAGATGAATGCGTTTATGTTTACTATATATGTACATATGTATGTATGTATGTAAGTATGTGAATAAATTAACTTTAGACAATAATATAAGTGTATAAGTAAAAATGTTTACACATGTACATATGTGTTTATAGATGTTAATATACTCAAAAAAATTAATAAAAAATGGTTACTACGAAAAGTATGAGAGGAATAAATATTAGTAGGAGGAAACAAATTATAAAAGCGCATGTGGGCGGACATATGTAAGTACACATAACGTGGGCGCTTGACAAGCGACTCGGCACTAAATAATTGTATGAGTATGACCCTAATAAACTGGCCGATGATTAAGTTTTTCTTTAGATTTATGTTTAAGTAAATTAAGATTTACGAAATAAAATTAAATTACGATTTGAGTCAAGTATTTAAGTATCTTGTGATTGGTATAAAAGCAAATCGAAGATAGAAATAACAATACAATCTTAAGAAACCGTGTAAATTTGTTCATACTTTTTCGCTTTAAAAAGCTAGCCTCACTGAATTGAAAGAAAACTCGATTTGAGAACCACTTCTAAGCTATCCAGCTGAATTCTATTTTATGGGTTGATAATGCCAAACTATTTAAGTTATGTCTAGCTTGTTGCTTGTTCGATTCATACCTCTCCAAGTCTGGTGCATCAAAGACGACTCTAAATTAGAAACCCAGGGAACTTCTGCTTGTACTTAGTAAATAAAATGCTGGCATCTCTGTATTGAACAAGGTAAGCAGAGAATAGAGATCTTGAACTCAAAGCACTGTGGATATTTGTAAAATATAAAATAATATTTACGAATGTTCTTTACACCTTCAACAAAACATAAATACGACAAATGGATAGCGTTCCGTAAACGGGCATTGTCTTACCGTACAAAGTCAGCTGTATAAGGAAATATCAACACTTTGACTAAATACTAAAATGTGAGTACTAACAGAGCCAGTTCTAAATCTCCGAGAAACAAGCTGTAGTTTGTAATTGTGGAATTAACATTGATATGTCATAACAACAAGCATTGAAAATGGTTACAGCTTGGTTGCTCTCTGACAAGAATTAGATTCACATGGATTACTAGCCAAAGTGCCCAAGCCCCTTTGCATTTTCTACTGGATATGTCGAAAAAATATTGACACATAGTTAGATAATATTAAGTTGAAAAAAATGTATTTATACGAATAGAGTTGCAGCAGCGGCAAAAAAATTTTAATTTGTCCAACAAACGGTCACAATTTTTTAAAAATATATTTTTTAATATTTTTTTTTTAATTTGTTTTAATAACAAATAAGTTATAAAACTAATTAAAAAACAAAAATTACTATGAGATTGTTTTTAAAACTATGCTAGTCAAAACTCTTTTGCAACTTTATTTCTGAGTAGAGCGCTGTTAAACTTTAATTAATTATATAAATAGATAAGCCATTTGCATTTTTATATAAGCAATTGTGTAGATATGTGTTTGAAGTTAATTAAATTTACTAAATGCTTGTGAAGTCGTCTGTTATTAGAAGTGTTATAAGCTATTTTCAACTATAATATATACAAATGTGTGTGTATTAGTTATTTTTGGAATAGCACAATACCGATTTGACTAAGCAACCGAAAGGCTATTGAAAAATTAGACTTTAGCTGAAATTTATCCACTCATAAGCCATATGTACATATGTACTCGTAATAAGCACGAACAACGTCACATGCACATATACACACAAACATAAAAGTATATGAGTACCTAGGTATATTGCTACAAATTTGCCATATAATGGCCGGAGAACATATGACATAATTTAGGCAACAACAATAGGATTTTGTTACGCGCCTGAAAGATTATACACACGTATGAATACATTTGCAGTAATGTAAATGTGTGCAATTTCAGATATTGTTAGTTCAGAGCTTTGAGAGCTATAAATATGTACGTAAGTAAATATATAATAAGTAAGTGCGAAAAGATGCAAATGTCAAAAGAGAAGAAAATTAGAGAAAAGCGAGCGCGTTAGATTGGAAAATTCAACTCCCCCTCTGCCCTTCGCAAATAACTTAGAACTTGTGAAAACAAAGAGAAGAGGCCAATGAAAAGGCGCATCAGAGAGCGTGTCAGTAATAGAAAGAGTTAATTGTGATAAATATTGATTTCCAGCGTTGAAAGCTTTGTGTTCGTAAATGAGAGCATGAAAAACTCAAACAAAAATAAAAATTTTAAATTTTCATAAAAAAAGCATTAAAAAAACCATAAACTTCACAGAGTGCGCTGAGGAGAGCCACTATCTAATATGCAGAGATTTGCTGAGAGCACACAATGCAAATATATTGTGTTTATATAAGTATATGTATGTGTGTGAGTCTGCTTGCGTATATCATATATATGTTTTTAAGAAAAAGCGCTCTTTTGACTGCACACATACACATACTCTTTTCTGGAAGATTACATATTTAAGTTATTATTGAAGGCTGTTTAATCAACTATAATTTTTCTAATCAGCAACTTTGAATGAATAAAAAGTATAAGTCCCAAGCAAATTCTTTCAAGCACAAGCATATTAGTTCACTTCTTCATAAGCTTCAATTGCCCACTCGACGCCTTACTAAATTGGACATATTGTGCGCTAAGCTCTATTCATCCTCACTTATACTCGACGAGCAGTCAGTTCGGAAACGCAAAAGAGCAAAAAGCAGTCAAGGCATGTTCGCTTGCATGCACGCTGCGGTCTGCGCTCGCCAACAGCTTTCAGAGACTGTCTAAATCCCTCTATGCATTTATGTATGCAATATAATTATATGCGTATGTGTTCGCTGCTACATGTGTGTATAATCTAGTATGCGCCAATATACATTTGTATGTATGTACTTATGGATAATTGTGGACACAATGGGATACGAATATGTATATTGTTGCTATATTTGGCTGCTGCTGCAACCACCGAGCACCAAGTCGCTGCTTTGACACACTTTTCGATGACGTAGTTGCGCATCGCTGTTCGGTTTTACGCACGACGAGGCAGTGGGGGCAGGGTGAAGGCGATGCGTGTTCGAGACTCCAGTACGTGCATACAAATGTACATTTACACTTTTTGCTCCCACTGTTAGTGTTTATGGGCTTGTACTTTGTGATACGTATGTATGTTTGTGTTAGTATGGAAGTTGGCGCAATATACAATGTATGTAAATATGTTTGGTATCGATAAATCAGACTATAAGAATCGATAGAAAAAAATATTTAGTAAAGAATGACATTTTGTCATTCACTTAATATGAGTATCATTACCTACTACGTTTTAAATCTAATACTTATATGTATATATATAATTAATTTGTCAAATTCGTGTGCATAAAAAAAAATTTTTTTTTCTTCTAAGTTCCTTTTGATTTTCAAACTTAATTTTATATTACATATTATTCTCTTTTTCTAGCTACAATATGTTTGAAGCTAAGCCAATCCCACCAAAAAGTGACCAAACCCTTCAAGTTCAACTTTAGATGAATTTGATATTCTACACATGTTAGCTCAACAACTACTTAAGGAGTTATATATAGGTATCCACTTATGAATTTCGAAAGATCGAATCGCTTATATAGGGAAAGTCTATTAATTTATTTATTTGAAAATATTCTTCGAAAATTTGAAGTTGCCGAGTTTCGAAGATAAGAGCGTATTTGTAATACTTTTTTTACTTAGTGTAATCGGCTTCAAAAACTTTAAACGCGTTTTTCTTGAAGCGCCGTTTTCGGAGTCTATGAGGAAATTTTCCCCAAATCGTCTGGACCGAACAACTTGAAGTATTCACACGACCTTCTTAGATATATTTTACTGGTCAGATCGAAGGAATAGAATACGAATTTTAATATAATTTAGATTTTTAAAGCCACGCTGAAGTGTAAATTATAAAAAAAATTAATTTTTTTAGGAAGCCGCAGTTTTGTCAAAAATATAATTTTGACTAGTCCTTCGATCATTATCTGTATAGTGTAATAATTATTTTATTTTTGATTGAAGATACGTTTTAAGCAGAAAAATCTTGCTCTCTGTCAGACACCTTTTTCAGAGGTCCTCCTGGAGATCGGCTACGGCATCAAAGGAATACAAAATGTTTCAAAATTAATCACCAATTAATAGAGTACATGAAAACCTATAAATCTTCATTATTTTTAGTTTTTTATTCAAAAAAATGTATTTTCAAAAAAAAAAAAAATAGCGACAAACGCGTTTTTTCTCTCTTGCAAGTGGATTTAACACCTTAAGTCAGAATAAAAGTTGCTGATGGCCATCATGAAGAGGTGGTTAGAGGCACTAGCCTAAAACTGCTTCTAGCCCTGTACCGAATAACATCTAACATGGATTTCTACTAACAGTCACCACTCGATAATCAATGGCAAACCTTCGAGTGAATTTATGCTTCTTCGAAAACTTATTAGCAGTTTGTAATTGGCTTAGAAATAAACAGAAATTGAAACCTCAAATCGAAAAAAGAACATAATATATGGTAAAAAAAAAATCCAAAATAAATTAATTTTTAATTTAGCAACTCAAGGTAATTTAATTTGAAAATCCATTTTTTATCTAGAAATCAAAAATTACCCTTCAACTGATTTAAGAAATCGAGTTTTGAATCAGAAATCAGAAATTAGCCTTCCAATGGTTTAAGATGTTCTTATGTGAGTAATAAATATTTCTTTTTTTTTATATTAAAAAATCATAACTTGCCAAAAGCAGCGCATTTTCAAAACAAGGAAGTCCTAATCATTCGTGTCTTTCAACGAGGGTGAAAAGCTGT